ACAAAAAAAAAAAAAATAGTAGAAAATAAACCAATACTGATATTTCGGGATTGTGCATTCCTTGCTGCAGATTAAATGTGTAATTTTGTTGGCTGCTTCTTAATATTGTGATAAGATAAGTTATTTTTCATTTTCTAATTTTCTCCTAATCCCACAAAAGCGTGTCAATTTCATTCTCACATTTTGCTGAATAAGGATTACACACCTGCAGAAATTAGATTTGTTCTCTCAGTGTAAATAACAGTATTTAATTAGTGAGGCAGATCTAATGTGGGTTCATGGGACATTGTGCTGGTGTGTGTGTGTGTGTGTGTGTGTGTGTGTGTGTGTGTGTGTGTGTGTGCGCGTGTGTGTGGGTGTGCGTGTCTGTATGTGTTGCAGGAGGAAGCAGCCACTTACAGACACCTGGGTGCCATACTGAGACACTGCATCATGAGCACCTCAGAGGGAGAAGAGCGCACGGAGGAGATGCACAGGTACACAAACACACACACACTCACTCACACACACACACACACACACACACACACACACACACACAGAGAGCAGCAACACACACACTCACTCACACACACACACACACACACACACACACACACACACAGAGAGAGGCAGAAGATCTAGATGCACAGAGGTTTATTAAGGCAAGGATACAGTTTCTCAATAATGCATTAAAGTGCACAACCAAATCATGTAAAGTTGTTTGAGACAGTGACACACTGGCACAGATTCTCACCATGTGTCTTGCTCTGATTTGTAGAGTTTGGTAACAAATTAGAGTAGATCCATGGGGATCTCAGTCCCAATTAATTAGTTGATTTGTAAAAGGAAAGCAAATTTGATGTGAATTTGTTTTACAGCCACACGGTGAACCTTCTGGGGAACCTGCCGCTTCCGTGTCTTGACGTCTTGCTGATGCCTAAAGTCCAGCAGGGCTCTATCGAGTACATGGGCGTCAACATGGATGCCGTCAAGGTGCTGGTGGAGTTTATGGAGAAAAGACTCGAACGGGTGAGCAATGCAATACTTCTGTTGTGCAAAAGTGTACTGTTAATATTTCAAAACATCCCTTAAAAAGGTTAAAACACAATAAAACGTTCCATAGACTGTATAAAAACATGGACGTAGTGTCCGTGACGTCACCCGTAGGTTTCTGAAGAGCATTTTTGAAGCCCAAAGTGGGCGGAGCCGGCTGTCGCCATCTTGGCAGCGCATCACTCCTGGATAATCAAAAATGGGCAAAGAGGCGGGATGTGGGTGGAGCTGGTTGCTGAAACCACACCCGCCTAGCTCGAAGGTGCAATCCACCTGTCACTCAAGTGGCCACACCCTTAATTATACATAACTTTAAGGCTTACGGTAATATAAACGGATGAGTTATAAAAAAATTCACCCCCCCTCACAGTTGTCATGAAGGACAAATTAGCTATATAGACCTAAACCACTTTTTGTACCAGGCTGTAAACATTTTTTCTGCTGTAAAGTTGGGCATTTTAACATGGGGCGTCTATGGGACTGACTCCCTTTTGGAGCCTGTCTCTAGCGGCCAGTCGATGAATTGCAGTTTAAGTCACTTCCGTGTTGGTTTCAAGAGAGAGACCGGAAGGTTGCTGCTTGAAACGTTCACATTTCTTCCAGTGGTGGGTGGCCACAGTGAAATCTCATTGGTCCGAAATCACACTTCACAGTCACATTTTTGTTTGTCTTTGTAAATATACAAATCATATATAGAAATACACATTTTGTGAGTTATTATTTACATTTTTTTTTTTTTTTATCTATTTTCCAACAAAAACATTTTTAAAGTTACAAAATAGAAATTACTTTACATTCATTTATAATTAATTTACAGATTTTACAACTTTTATAAGTACATCCGACCTTACCCACATTCATATAGTATACTCATTTAAAAGCGATATATACTTAATAGCAAATATAAACTTTATTAAGTATTATATACTACTGTACATCCAACTTTAAACCTACATACAGTACATTCATGGAAAGCTATATATA